AGCCCTAGAAATCTTTGTCACTGGCCTAGGATGCCCTGCCCTGTCTCCCCAAAAACATGCCCCAACCGCTCGCGGAATGGGGGGGGCCTGGGCCGCGCGCCCCCCCCCCCAGTGCCGGAGCAGGCAGTGCGCGGCGGCGGGATCCCAATCCCCCGCAGGATACCGACGCCGCCATGGTGGGGTTCCCCATGACGAAGCGACTGCGGGGGGGGCGTGTTCGTCCCAGGGAGAAGCAGGAGAGGTTGAAGAACCCGACTGTTCGACTATCCGGATTAGGCCTATACCTGGACCCTCCAAAGTACCTTAGAAAATGGGACATGACCTCAAAAAAACAGATACTTGTACCCATTTTCCAAGGTAGTTTGAGACTCCAGGTAGGCTATAGGTATACCCCAGGTGACGGGTCCTAGTTCAGGTCACTTCACGGTAGACCGCGCGCAGCGGGCGGCAAAAAGGGGCACCAGTCGGGAGTCATTGAGATCATTTAGGGCTTTTCAAGAAAGATTTTTATGATAGATTGAAGAGCTGAATCCCGAAGAAGAACCCTTGTCCAAGCTGTTTTTGGATTGGTTGAAGGCTATAGGAAACACAGTACATCACCATACTTCAACCACGCTTTGGAGCAATACATGAGGCATATGGGATGAATGGTGGGACGCACCAGATGCATGACAGGTGACTTGATTGTTGTGAAGTTCGCTGTCGCAATCTATCCAGAGAGGTGAATTCCATTCCGTTGCAGAGAAAAAGCATTCGCTGCCCGATTGCAGAGAAGTGAATTGATGTGAAGATCCCTCCAATCCTGTTTTTCTCACACCACACTTTCACCGGCTTAGGAGAAACCCTGAGAAAACAAAGATACCTCCCTAAGAACCCTTGGGCTCTCCATAGCAGGGGTCGGACCCGACACTGAAACGCAGGGGATACTCCAAGCCCGGATTCTGCTGATGGACCGATTTGCCGCCCCATGGTGGGTGCGTGTGGGTGTGTGGCCTCATCAACATGACGCGTCATACACAACCTTCAATCCCAGACACGACTAATGGGACTGCCATAGGACTGCCGATCAGGCCAGGGGGTGGTGCCAAGCAGGGTCAATGTAGGTATAGTGGGTTGAGAATGGTTGAGAGAAAATGGCACGATCACCAAAAGGTGGCTTATATGGACCCCCATCTAAAGGACGTCTTGGGGTCTGTGCCATCTACTCTATATATTGTATATTATGGAGTGTTTGGGAATGCAGGAACATGCCCTCCGTATCACCAACAGGGATCGATCACGAACGCCTTGAGCGTCCTCGCTCCATGCTCCGGTCTAGATCCCAGACCATCCATGTATGGAATTGTTATGTGCATGATAGTTATGCTCCATCCTTATATATATAACTTATAACTGCGTATAACTCTATCTATATCCATACTCGTGAAATGGTCTATGGTGTTCAAAGTCTTCCATTCCATGCGACTGCCCCTGGTCGTGCAGTAATGCTCCCAACTCCGATACCATCCCAACACCAAAACCCGACGAAACGGTCGTACCTTAGAAAATGGGACCTACCCAGTCAGTGGATAGCCTTTTTAACCATGTTTAACCTTTTTTGGGGATTGGTTTCCCCACTAAATAATGAATAGATCGGAAAAGGTTAACCTGGTATATAATATAGTATCATTATATATACCTAGCTGGAACCCAACTGACCCCTGTTTTGATAGGAAAATGTCATATTTTGGGTGGTTAGTGGTCCAAAATAGAGGTCATTCAGGTTCTAGGTATAGGTCGGTACTTTCCTGGGCGCCCAACATCGGAGGCACGCGGAGGTGACGACTGGGTCGACGACGGAAATCAAACCCGATCGGGTCAACGTCACGCCCTGTCTTCGCTCCTAAAGGTCAAGTGACCTGAACCAGGACCCTACAGAAGTACCTACCTGGACCCTCCGACCCTCGGGGTGCCCTGTCTGGAAGCCGACCGGCCGGTAGTGTGGAGTAGTCCAGCCAGGACACCCCGAGGGTCGTCGAACAGTCGGGTTCTGACCCACCTCTGCCTCGTCTCCCACCTCCTGAGCGCCTCCCAGGGATCCGAAGATACTGCCATGGGTCCTGCCGAGCCCCTCGGGCGCGAAACGGAATTCCGGTCGTGGCCGCGGAAGTCCGGTGGTGGCCGCGGTCGGACGCGGGAACGAAGGATCTTCATCCACACCCTCCAGTCGTACCTCCAACAGAGGTTGAATGACCCGAACAGTGTTGTTTCCCCACTGAGCACGAGAGGTGGAAGAAGGTTACCTGGTTTTTCTTCGGAACGAGGGAGTCTCAGAGGTTGAATGACCCGAACGTTCGACTATCCCAGTTGGGTACCCCAGTACAGTCCTAGTTCAGGTCACTGGCTACCTCTCTTGGCTCCGGTGAGTGGTCCGAAGCGCCACGGTCGTCGGGCCGTCGGGCCTCCTTCGGCGACCTGCGACCGGCGACCCGTCCGGCCCAAGTCGAGCGGTGGAGCGGGTGCCAAGTCGGCACGACTCATGGGACTGGCTCAACTACCAACTACCTGGGCCCACAAAGAAACCTGTTTCGGAAGGCCCAAGCCTTTAAGACCTGTTGGAGGATGTTGGAGGATGTTCCAGGAGACCAGAAACCTGGTGGTTCTTAGTCTAAACTGGGATTTACTGGGGAAAGATTCCTTCCCCCATGCGCCCAGGATTGTAGAAGATGATGCATCTTGGCTGGAGCGATTGAATTTCATTGGAGCCTTTCACAGCTGATCCAAAGTTGACGCGTGATGACAGGGGTGTAGATAGCACATGTAGATCGCACAAATTGCAACATGAAGATGATCAGTGTAGTAGATGTCTATGGCTTCGTTTAACCCAAGGAAGATGTTGCGTTCGAAGCATTGCTGGAGAAGCGTGTGCACCAAGACTACGACAAGGACGGCTTCGGCCCCATTTGTCCGAGCTAGGAAGTGAGACTCCAGGTACTCGTAGGTGCAAGAAGTCACCCTAGACACTCCATGTACACTTTCACACACTAAGTCCACTTCGTGATAGGTTCGGTCAGAGTGCATCAGTCCTGGCATTTGGATCTATTCAAGAGTGCTTGAAAAGGAGGTCATGCAGGCGAAATGTTTGTACACCCTTTCGCCTTCGGACGAAAGAATGATGGACCTGGTCTCGTAGTGCAAAATCCTTCGTACAGGTTGTTCGGGAGTCAGACCATTAAAACCATTGGTGGGCCAGGGATCCCAAGGCACCTGTAAGTGAATACCCTTATTGCTTTCCTACCTGGTCATTGACCTGTTTCGGAGTTTATCGGACGTGCTTTTGTGTGACCACCTCCAGCATTTCATGAGGAAAAAGGAGGAGGCATAGTTGTTTTTTTCATTTTTGGGGGTTCCAGTCCCTCCCTTCGTGGCGAACACCCTCCAGGACTTTGGCGATGATTTCGACGACGATGACGTGTGATTCCAGGCCGCTGTCTTATGCCGGCCCACCGGCATGGCGACCAGCCTGCGTTGAGAAAAGAGCCATCGAACATGGAAAAAGAACAAAACAACGGCCACATGGACTTGCAGGAGTTGGGCGGTTAATGGACACCCCTAATCACATATCTAAGGGGCTATTAATCGACACCCGGGTCCTTCCGTGGTGCTGGAACATGGCACATGGCTATACATGTAAAAACATGTAAAAAAGCAATGCCATTTGAATCTCTGAAGGCAGATCAACCGCTGCCGCTTGGTATACATGTGAAAAGTCATGCTGTCGAAGACACAGCGAAGAAGAAATGAGACCAGGACCACAGGACCAACCATGTTTGGACCGGATTGTTTTTTTGAATGAATCATATACATACATCTTCAAGGGGGGCCTATAAACCATGACAAACATGACAAACTGGGTGGTGCAATGGATGAAACACGTCAGCACTAGAATGAAGCGATGGAGAGTTGTGGGCAGAATCCAACAACCCCATGCTGGTGTCGAAAACGCAGAGGTGCAGCCCATCTGACGTCGGACGGTCCGCCCGAAATGCAGCGGCGCAGACCAGCCTGGCAGACCGCGAGTTGCGGGCAGAACAGACCGTGGCTGGAGCGGAGCAAAGTGGGCAGATCTTTGACATACGGTGGTTTCAGAGGTGAGAAATGGCTGGCATCCCTACATGACCTAGACAGATGGAGGTCTATATAAACCACCGACCTTGGGGATTGTGCCATCTACTCTGAAACCGCTGCAATAGAAGAATCGGTCGAAAGTCAGGAAAACAAAAACTAGGTGGAAATCGACCCGAATAGACTTGATAAGGGCTTTGAACACTGTTTGGCTAAGGTTTTTGTTGGGATGTTGGAATCGAAGCAATGTAGTAGCCGCAAGGACATTTCTACAGCACTGGGTCCTGGTATGAGCTTTTGGTATAGGTTGTGTGTTTTTTTGAGGAAGTGGTGAAGTGGTGCGGAAATCTTGTTTAGTTGACGAAGCGGACGCTTGGTGGCATCCGTCCAACCGTCCTGACGCGACGCTTGGTCGCTATGGTTTGGTGGCCTTCCAAGAGATCACTAGCAGTGACCCATTGTGTTCCCAACCTCCATGGCCAGCTTCTTCGGTTCGTGACCTCTTTGGAGTGCCTGATTGTGACCTTTTACGAGCCCAAGTGACCTCAAACTGGGATATCAAAAGGTCACTTTGAAGAACCAGGGGGGTAGTTTTGAAGTTGAGGAAGCACTTCACTTGTTGCCTTTCACCATGATGTCCACCTACCTTCCTTTGCAGCGGCTGCCGCCTGTGATGGGTCCCTCGTAACCCTGAACCGTTCAGGCCGCAACAGGCCCGGCACCTTCAAAGGTCAACTCTACCAGGGCTCCCTGAGGGGTGTCTATTAACAGCCCCCTAGAGGTGATTTGGGGTGTCCATGAACGAACCACCATCATGTCCAATGGGGTCCTGGTTTCACCTATCACCAGCATGCCCCTTCGTAGTCTCTAAGGAGTTGCCTTCCGTGTGTGCAGCCATGGCCTGCCTTGCATGCTTGCTTGAGCCAAGCAGTGACCGTGCTTAGGCGTTCTTGCCCCCTGCAGGCGTTCTTGTGTCTGCTAGGTGTTCTTGTCCCTTTGGTGGCAATGGCCATGCTCAAATAGATAAGAATCTACCCACCACTGGCTCCAAGAACCATAGCGATACAGGACACTTGTGTATCAGAAATGAATTAACTTGCTGTTTCACTTCTGCTTGCATTTAGTGTGTCTATGCTTTGTGTCATTGTTTGTGTTCTTTTTTTTGCGTAGGCATTCTTCCCGTCACTTTGGCGTTCTTACCCATTACTTCGGCGTTCTTGCCCGTTCCCCCCTGTCGGGTGGACAAAGGAATGGTCGCCTTTTTGGGGGGGAGCAAGTGGCATGAGTTTCAAATACTTGTCCTTTGCATCAGTTTGGATTCAGATTAATCCCTTCCACCTATTAAAAAACACGGGGGCCGTTTTAAATAGGTACTCGGGATTATGCCTTCGCCTGCATGTAAGCATGCATGTGATTGTGCCGTGGTTTTGGTGTCAGCTCAGCTTCGGGACTCGTGACCGAACTGGAGTCCTATCCAGTGACCGTTCACCACCTCGTTTGGGCGCCAGGAGCGCTTCGGGACTCATGTGCTGCAAGGCCCGTGTGCGTGCGGCGCGGGTGCCGCGCGGTTTTGCGCGCACGGGGTCCGCTGCGAATGACAGCGGTTTTGTGGAGGGTGACGGGTGCGCTCAGTTTTCTTGTCCAGCTGGAGGGGTTTGGTCTTCACCCCAACAGGAGTGGTGCTCGAAGTGGACATTGAGCATTGGTGGATGAAACCCGCGGAAAACATCATATATGTTGCAATATGACTCGTTGCTGTTCTTGTTCTTTTGGAGCCTTTTTTGATGCGCATGGGTCACTCCACTTGGACCTGGTTTTCTCCGCCCTATCAGGATCGGCCCATCCCGTGTGATCCCAGCAGCCTGGGGAAAGCTTGGTGAGGTGAAGCTCACCGCCGATGCGGCCAGGATGAAAAAGGATGAAAAAACACGGCCATTTCGCCCATTTCGCGATTGGTGGAAGGATAGAGGGGACACCTGGCAATTATTGTCTACAACCAAGTCCGGTCTATACCTGGCTGACACCGCAAAACCGCCAAACAAACATCCCAAAGCAACTTCATTGGAGCACTTGATGGATCCTCATGGTTTAGTCCACTTTGCAGGAGAGCGTGGCAGTGGCCGCTGGCTAAAGCTGGCAGCTGGAGAGAAGGCAGAGGCCCTGGGCCCTGGGGGGGCGTATGTTACGACCTGCACCATCCTGGCCCAGCTTGGTTTGGTTGGATTGTAGGTACCTCCCTTTGGTATACTCTTAGACCCGAACGGCTCCTTTGGTTGATCAGCGATTCACTAACCCTTATAGTGCAAAATGCAAAAGATCTAATTAGGACAGGCAACACTGCCCAAATGATTCCGCACTGGATGCTGCTGGACACACAATGAAGCTTGTGCCTTCATCCATTCCATGGACACTATGCGCGCTTCCGCGCGTGCGAGCAGCGCATGCGCCGACCACCTGTGGCAGGTGCTGGGCGCTGCCATGAAGAAGGCACCGAACCCCAAGGCCTGTGGAACACCACGGCTGGATGCGGAACATCAACGTCCTACCGACCGTTAATGGTTCAAGAAACAACTACAAGCGGAGATGCAGAACTTTAAGCTATTATAAACAATACATAAGACATAAACACATGTTGTTCCTAGTGGAGGTGTGTAAATCAACAGTCAACATCTCAAACCCATACACCTCCAGTCGTACCTCCTCAGGTTCGGTGTTTAGACCCTCCTGGCACCCACGGTGAGAGGGCGGTCGAGACATCGAGGTCGTGGTGGTTTCAGAGATGTTGATCTTCCCTAAGGATCCGCACCCGAAACAAAACAAGGGTTTGGTTCGGGGCCCCTGTCACCCTTGTGAACTAGAGGGTTCGACCCCGAACGCCATGGAGGGTCCAAGGACCCTTAGGGTTCAACTGATCCCAGTGACACACCCTAGGGATCCAGTCGTACCTTCTCAGAAGGCACTTGGACCCTCCTGGCACCCACCCCAAACACCTTCTGAGAAGGTACTTGGATCCCAGTGACACAGATGGTGTTTCCTTCTTTTTGTTGTTTCCACACCAAGTGATGGTGGCTTCATTTCCAGACCCGGTCGACGCGCTTGACCCGGTCGAGGTGTCGTGTTCCTTTGCTTTGGAACCATGTTCCCTATAGGCATCCAGTCGTACCCTCTCTACAGTCTCCAGTGTCGAACACGTCACCCCTGAGGTTCGGTACGAAAACGAGTCCCTAGCCCATAGGGTCCAGGTACCTCCTTTTCGGATGGTCGAACGAAGGTGAGTACTTCCAGAGAATGGTCGTTGCCGGGGGTTCTGGCAGGACATCCGAGCTGCTCGGATGGTCCTGGACCCTGGATCCCTAGGGGTTCAAGTCAGATGGACATCCCAGATCCGCTTTCACTGGCACATCCGTTTGACCCTATAGGGTCGACCGACAGTTCCTCGGAACCTGTGGGGGGTCTGCCCGAACTGACCTGTAACAGTTGTAACGGTCGGTAAACAAACTCAATTGGGCACTGACCATCATCCACTGGTACTGGTTTTAGGATAGACCCTGGGAGTCAAAGACTATAAAAAGAATGGTCTTTAGGGGATCTGAAAGGGAACTTCCTTTACTTCAGCCGGTCAAAATATAGTCTTTGGACTTCTATAGGGTATATATACAATTCATATATTTTTTCGTTGAATTCATGTTGTTGTTTTTTCATGGCGGTCGTGATCATGTGCCATGTACACGCGTCCAGGTTCACATTCCAAGACTACTTGGCATCTGGCACATAGTATATAACCCTAGGGCTCCGAACGCCCCATATCCTCAGGTTCGGCGTTTAGACCCTCCAGACCCACCCCAACCACCTTCTCAGGAGCTAGTTGGAGCTAGTTTGTCAGTAAAGCATTTGGAGTCTAACCACCTGCTGAGGATATGGTTGGAGCCCTAGGGGTAAGTACTTTCAGATGTTCGATGGCACAAATTCATCTCAAAAGGCGCTGGGATTGACTGGCCCTCCTGGCACCGTACTACAGTCTCCAGTGTCAAACACATCAATCACCGTACCGTACCGAAGGTGGCAGTGGATCCATATGGGCATTTTCTACATGGTTTAGGATGGATGGAGTGTGTTCTTCTACGACTGGACCTGACTGGCTGACCGGCAAAGAACAGACAGAGTCTCCCTGCTTACCAAGCATGAGAAGGCACTTGGATGCATGATTTGGACCATGCTGGTTTCCTTTATCAATAACTTGCGATACATCTTTGGTTCCTCTCCACGGATTTGCCTCGCGAGATCTTGGAGTTGGGCACCTATTGCGGCTACTCCGCCTTGCGGCCGCCGGGACGAAGATGACCCAGTCGGAGGGGGCGAGGATGAGCAGACTTGGGCTGAGCAGACCTCGGCCGTGGTGATTTCGGCGAAGATGACCCACTCTGTGAATGTTTAACCCACAAAAATGCACATTGGATCACATTGGGGTGGTCTCATGGGGGTAGCTACATATATTCCATACATGGAGTGTTTGGGTGAGCCGACGAAGAAAGAGCCTGACTAACAAACATGGGATTGCTTGACGTGGTACTTTGTGGGATATGTTTCCTGAACCTGTGCTTTTGATGATATTGGTGCTTCGGCAACATGTTTCGCTTCGGCAAGCGCCAGACATTCCAAGACGCCTTATTTCACCCTTCTTGAAGCTGAAATGGCATGCAGAAATCACTCCCTAGGGATCCAGTCGTACCGAACCTCAGGTACGGCACGACTGGACCCGAACATGGCACCCACCCCAGTCCCACCGAACCTGAGGTTCGGTACGACTGGATCCCAGTGACACAGATGGTGTTTCCTTCTTTTTGTTGTTTCCACACCAAGTGATGGTGGCTTCATTTCCAGACCCGGCCCTAGGGACTTGCGCCCGCACGTGTGAGCACGTAAGATCCCATCAACTCTCTTTGACAACATGTTTCGCTCCGCGGGATGGCCACAGTCCAGAAGAGGCAACAGATGTCCCCTATGGGCTCCATCCATATTCTCACCCTAGGGATCCAGTCGTACCTTCTCAGAAGGTGGGACTGGACCCTCCTGGCACCCACCCCAGTCCCACCTTCTGACTGAGAAGGTACTTGGATCCCAGTGACACAGATGGTGTTTCCTTCTTTTTGTTGTTTCCACACCAAGTGATGGTGGCTTCATTTCCAGACCCGGCCCTAGGGACTTGCGCCCGCACGTGTGAGCACGTAAGATCCCATCAACTCTCTTTGACAACATGTTTCGCTCCGCGGGATGGCCACAGTCCAGAAGAGGCAACAGATGTCCCCTACGGGCTCCATCCATATTCTCACCCTAGGGATCCAGTCGTACCTTCTCAGAAGGTGGGACTGGGGTGGGTGCCAGGAGGGTCCAGTCGTGCCTTCTGAGAAGTACGACTGGATCCCTAGGGTCAGAAGGTGGTTGAACCATTGTTAAACCATGTTAAACCCCCCAAACTTACCCTAACCACCTCAAGAGGTAGGCCAGGAGCCCTAGGGATACAAGAAAAACACAACGGAGCTCAAGATGTAGACAACGATTACCATCAGCGACGAGTATATACATCCCGTAAAACCATGTAAAACCTATCCATGATGACAATATGTGTTACCCTAAGAATCAAGGACCCTCGGTTCGGTGAAGGTTTTTGTTCCAAACCCCTGCGTTCTGCAGGGTCAAAACCCTCCAGAAGTGGTCGGGTCCAATGATTCCTAGGGTAGATGACCATATAAATTGCATCACAGCATGTGATCCATGCAGCGTCGTTGCCGTAGCAACCTCATGAACTCCCCACCCCACTGATCCACACAGAGATCACCGCTCTCTCCAGTGGCCCTGCGGACATAGCACGACATGCTGCCGTCTCTCACACGATGTTGATACAGCGCTCGCTTTGGCCGGGTCGTTCTCAACGTTCTCGGCGCACCAAAACCGTCGAAACTTCGTGTCGGTCCTAACGCTTGAGAATCCATGTGCGTTGTGTGGGCGGGGGCGAACCTCAGGTCATCCCTATAGGGATCCGTTTTCGTATCGAACCTCAGGTTTGGGTCCAGGCCTGGTCCCGACTGGGCACCGGCAAATAAGAGTGTCTCCCTGCTCAGTGTACCTGAGGTTCGGTACGACTGGATCCCCTGTGTTACCCTAAGGATCCGAGTCCGGACCCTCCTTAGAAGGGGTCGAACCCTCTAGTTCACAAGGGTTTGGGGCCCCTCATGTACCCGAACCAAACCCTTGTTTTGTTTCGGGTGCGGAATTCGCAATGGGTGGAGGGCTTCCGGAACTCGTTTGGGAGATTTCGACCTGTGCCTGAACTACTCACGAACCAGGAGTCACATGGAGGCCAGGGTGGTGTGGCCGCGGCCGCCGTGGATGTGACATGCCGGTTTTTACCCCCGGTTCCGGCGCGAACCGAACCGGCGTGTTGGGCGCCCGACTCCTGGTTCCGGCGCGAACCCATCCATCTTCCATTCCTAAATGGTGTTTCCTTTACCCATGACAGCTCCTCAAGTGTTTTGCCCTTGCTTTTTCCGCCGACCCGTTCCCGAACCGAAGGAGGGATCCCCAAGTCCTCAGATCCCGGATGCTTTGCTTCACGTCCGGGCGGTTCAAAAAAGGTTCTCACCCATCCCGGATGCTTTGCTTCGGGACCGAACCAAAGGGGCGGTCACGTCACGCTCCACGCGGCTCCGCGTTGCTCGGCGCTTCTCCCTTCTTAGCACCGAGGCTCTGTGAGGCGCCAGTCTCTCCGGTCGAGACGGCGGTTTTGGGGGTGAGGTTCGGCCGGTGTTTTGGTTGCTTTTCTCATCCATAGACTCCATGGGACTGCCATAGATGCCGATCAGTTGGGGTGGTGTGGGGGGTCAATTGATCGGCATATATGGCAGTCCCATGGAGCGTTTGGGTCATGGCACTGATTGAAACCCATGGCACTGATTCTAGTGGGCTGGCATATGGACCGATCAATTATGATTGAAAAGGGGTCAATGTAATTATGTGAATATGCCAGTCCCATGGAGTGTCTATGGCCCGGACTCCCGAAGAATCAATGTGTTTTTGCAGATGAGACCCCCGAAATAGATAGACAAGCAGATTCCCACTAAGAATTTCAATCCGTGTCACTATCTATTTAGGGACATAAGGATTTGGGCACAGGGCACACCCTGCGGACTGGGTCGGGGGATTTTGGGGGTGTCCAGAAAATCCGCTAGGCCACCCCTCAGGTCGTCTAGGTGCGGCATACGACTTCTAGGGATCCACTGCCACCGTACCGACCTGGGCCTGACTGGCTGGCGCCTACCCTAAGGATTCCGCACCCGAAACAAAAACAAGGGTTTTGAGGGCACATGACGGTACAAACCCTTGTGAACTAGAGGGTTCGACCCCTTGCCATGGAGGGTCCGTTCGGATCCTTAGGGTACATAAATAGTCTCCAATCACCGTACCTGAGAAGGTATGTGGATCCATAGGGGACAGTCTTTGGGTGAACATCAGATCGCCGGACGGACCCGGATCCTCGAGCTCAGGGGTGGGGAGACTCTCACCAATCCCGATCGGTGTGGGCCTCGTGATAACGGAGCGAAAAAGGGTCATACCAAACATCGATTTCTGGGTCGAGCGCGGGTCTCCTTCTCAGTTGATCGTACAAGTCCCTCCAAACCCACATCACAGTGTCGAACACATCACCGTACCTGAGAGGGTATGTGGATCTTTATAGGGAGTATGTACATGTCCTGTATTTGTCGCGCTTAGGGGCCATGTCTCACTTTCGTGCTTGCAGTCGGGTCGAGCCGTGAGGGTTCGTTCACCGCGAGCCGTGAGGCATTGGAGAATGCATCGGCCAGTGCTTCAGCGGAAGAGGAAGCGAAAGGAAGTGGTCAAGAAACTCATGGCCAGCCCTGATCAGAGTGGATATGAGTGGATGGTGAATGGCCTAGTCAGGGAAAAGTGGATCACCTGACAACCTTGAAATGGGGGATTCATTTCCATCATTTCCCAACGAATTTATGAACAGATGCGGAAAGAGGTTGTCCCGGATTTCGTGGAAACTGCTGGTGTCAGAAAAGACTTCTCATAAACACCAAGTGAAAGGTGCGCACCGTGAAGTATATAGCATTGTGCGCGTCAATGGGTCTCTCATCGTCGGTCGTCCTCAACTCAATCCAGGTCATCACGGTGGAGAACGACCCGGTGCATGCTGTCATTGCCCCGTGCCCGAAGGAGTATGTTCCTGGCTGCTGGGTGGACAGGGCAGGGGTGTGCGCTGCAGGCCGATGCCTGTGCAGTCCACACCCGTACGAGTTCGTTTCTCTTTTAATTGTGCCATCTACTCTGAAACCACTCCCAGTGCATCCTAGTTACCACTATATAAGGAACTATGGTTTTAGTCTTTGGAACCACTGGTTACCAGGTATAGTGGTACCTGGATGCCCTGGGACTGTACCTGTAGTCGGCCCGGACACGTATATAAGGAGTGGAGTCGCATGGGTCCGCACCATATGGAGTCAGGGAGGAAGTTGAGGAACTCCGGGGTGCCCTATCTCACGATCACATCCATGGCCGGAGTTGGATGGGACTTCCCACCCAGCCTGGTTCTCCTGGAGTGAACTCCTGGAGTGCCGAACCCTCCCCAGACACGAAGTCTGGACCCGAATCCTTTGGAGGGATCGGACCCGAATCCGAACTGGTCAGGGGTCTGGAAGTGGGTCTGGACCCGATAGGTTTTGAGGGAGTCGGGCGTCGTTCACGGAGCGTTTGGGTAGGGTGTATCCTCCGCTTCAACCCCCCCCAGAGGCTTCCCACCCACCCCATTTTCCGCCCGTGGGAACCCCGTGAGGTCTTTGGATAAGGTTCGGACCAATAGTCCGACACTCCATGGGACTGCCATATATGCCGACCCATTGACCCCCCCTGGCACCACCCCTGGCCGGAACTCTCGGCAGTCCTATGGCAGTCCACATAGAGTGTTTGGGATAGTCGGACATGAAACAAACACTGGGCTGAAAGCTGATCGGGCGTTGTTTTTGTCGATGTTCTCTGTCACCCTGTGGCAGAATACGATCAAAGAGGAAACATATGACGTCGTCAAACAGCCCTTGGTTTGACCGGGCTGTTACCGCATCAAGGAGTTTAGGAGCAAAGCTGCAAGACCACAAATTAAGCCCTAAGAATCCGGGCTTTGAAACACATAGGGTTTGGTTCGGGCCCGGACCCCTGCTAAGGTGTCGGGTCCGGCCCCTGCCATGGAGAGCCCAAGGATTCTTAGGGTGCATCATGCAGTCTTGCTTCCCCGTTCGGCATAGCCGTTGTTCCTAGATTGTTGGTGTATGCTTTGTCCAATTGGGTCGAAAAAATCGGCAAAGATTGGTGTACGTTGATGCCAAGCGCTTAGGTCAGGTCGTTTCACCGGACGTGTCACACATCTCAACGCCGCAAAGATCCAGATCCAAGTACTTTTTCGGGTTCGGTACGACTGGACCCTCCTGGCACCGACATAACAGTGTCTCCACCCTAAGGATCATTAGCCCTTGCTATGGAGGGTTTTGACCCTGCATAGCAGGGGTTTGGACCGTCAAAACCTTCACCTTTGAGGGTCCTTGATCCTTAGGGCAATTAGCTTCTGAGAAGGTACGACTGGATCCCGAAGCCTGCAGATGATGCAACGAACCATCAGCGGGGTGCACATGGTTTGGACGAAGACCATGGTTTTTGGTTCTCAATCGACACTGCATCGGAAAGTCCAGCACAGTGGCTATTTGGAACAACTTGCCTATACGTCTCTTCCCTGCGAACTTGCCTATACGTCTCTTTCATTTACGCCATTTGTCCCCCTGCGAACGACTGCGGGCTGCCCGACGTCGCGGCGACAGCCGCGGTCGGTCGTCCGCCCACGAGGCCATGTGCCTCGTGGCGTTGGCTGGACAATCCCACGGCGTGAAGGAGCGCGGCGGGGCGAGCGATCGGACGCTACGAACGGTCATCGCGACGCGCGATCGGAGCGATCGGACGCTACACGCTACTACTATAGGGGCTCCTGGCCTTACTACGTTCGGAGCGATCGGACGCGGTGGACCTGCTAGGACGTGAAGGAGCGAGTGGTGTCCACGATAGGTGTGTCCCAGGGTGTCGACCGCTTCGAAACGGACGACGGCCGCAGGCAGCACTTCAGTTCGTGACCTAACTTGAAGGTTCCTGTTCGTACCCTGAGAGGAGGCTTGTTTGTGACCGAACCAACCAGGTGATCAAGTTCGGTCACAAACTGAAGAACCAGGGACGTGATGAGCAATTTAGGTGGTGTTTGTGACTTAGTCTCAAGCACTTTGTGTATAGTGCGAAGACATTTGCAAACACAAAGCTCCTAACCCATGGTCGGCATGCGTGACACGTCCGCTTCTGAATTGAAAGTGTTTGCTTTTTGAGATGAACAACCCACTGCATGGTCCAGCACCACCCAGTTCGGGTGGTGATTTTGATCAAAAAGACAGAGTCAGGGGATGTCAGGGAGATGTATTGGACCACCCAAAATGGGTGGTGCTGGGTATCATCCAATCGCGCGCGCGTGCGCAGGTGTGTGTGTGTGTGTGTGTGCGCAGGGGGACTGGAGCCGATTTGCCTATCCAGTCCAACGAAGCTATGGCATTTTGGTGGATGACTGGTCTGATCAACCACTTGTACCTGCAACCTTGAAACTTTTGCCTACGCTGTGACTCCACTTTTCCTTCGGTTTGTTGTTATGGTCTTTCGTCATGATACTACCCCCCGAACAGGTTTCCCTCCGCAGCTTTCTGCCACTCGTGAGCCGCCTGAGTTTCCGCAGATGTGCACAAACATTTTTTTGAAACATCTTCAAGTGCTTGAACGCTTCACCTTTCCGTTGAGCCATTCCTTTCCTCGTGGAATTGATGTAACTGAAAACCCTTTGTCAAAGTGTGAAATTGGCTCAGCGTCTTGAGTTCGTGGATTATGGTTTGGTTTGTTTTGTTACGAAAGCTAGCTGATAGGCGACTGCTGAGTTCTCATTTGCGAACGTAGTGAGATGATCAAGGGTGTGGGGGGTGAGATGCTGCCCAGCGGGGCAGAAAAAGTCGCTGTCAGCTGGTGTTTTGGGTGAGTTACAGGGTCCGTGTGGACGGATTATGTACCATGCGGCAATTTGGTGACGGTAGGGCTTCGATTCCTCCCTGCTCCGCCCCTGCGGAGGCTGATTTCGATTCTGATTGAGTCAAAAGTTGAAAAAGATCGCAAATACCGATGTTTTTTGAAGGTCGTAAATACCGTGTTTTTGAATGTGAAGACGTGAAACATGTTGGATTGTTATGCTGGTTCGAGAGTGAAAACATCGTAAATATCATGCTTTTTGGCCTGCAGGGTGGAAAGGCCATTGTAAATAGTGTTTTTTTAGGTGTCAAAACGTGAAAAACAGGTGGATTTTTCTGCGTTTGTTTGCCTGCAAGTTGGAACACATATCGTAAATACAGGTTGTGGAATTTGAGCACGTGAAACAATCGAAAGACCCCCTGTACTCTACTCTATTCTACTCTCCAACTTTCTGACACAGAGAGAGAGAGAGGATGCAGCATACAGGGATTTCGTATTGGATTGTTTATAGGTTTGAAAACGTGAAAAACAGGGGGATTTTTCTGTGTTTGTGTGCCTGCAAGTTGGAAAACATATCGTAAATACAGGTTTTGGAATGTGAGCACGTGAAACAATCGGAAGGCCCACTGTACTCTACTCTATTCTACTCTACTCCAACTTTCTGACACAGGGAGAGGGAGAGAGAGAGAGAGAGGATGCAGCATACAGGGATTTCGTATTGTTTTTTTTGCGATTGGCGTTCCCACCTTGTCTTGTCATGAGTACTTGCTGAAAGCATGACAGAACATCGTTCCTTTCTCGTTCTATCCTAGCTTGTCTTGTCATGAGCACGAAAGTGAAAAAAACCTCGCCGCCCACTGTACTCTACTCTACTCTACTCTAGTCTACTCTACTCTGAGAGAGAGAGAGAGAGAGACAGGGTGCAGCATACAGGGATTTCGTATTGCTTTTTTTTGGCAGAACTACGGTTATGTCTGATGCTTTGGTGTAGTGCAGTTCTACTGATTTGCCGCCGTCGTCTCACTACGTTCGCAGAAAGAACTACGGTTACGTCTGATGCTTTGGTGTTTTGCAGTTCTACTGATTTGCCGCTCCGTGGGCTCATTTGCATGCAGGTGGACATTTGCTACAATTACAAAAAGGGATAGGTTTACTAGACCAGTGTGGTTTAGACCCTCTTGCAGGCACGTTATTCTGACAGTTGGCCATTCGCAAACATGTTCAAACAACTTGGCTGGGCTCCCGCTCTGCCGCAGCTCGCACGGGCGGAACAAAAAGAGAGACCCTAGCTTTCGTTTGCTACCTCTCAGGTTTCACCCATGAATCTCCTGCTACTACACTGCCGAGTTTACGGAGACTTGACGCCGCCGGGCATACGGAGAATAAACCCCCGCCGAGTTCTCCAACCCCCCCCCCCCCCCCCCAAATTAGGGTAACAGAGGGAAATGGTACTCGACACTTGTGTGTCGGTGCCTTTCCCTCTGTTGTCTCTGTTCTAGTCTACCCTACCCGGGTGGTTTAAGACTAAAGTCCCGCTCCCGAACTATTGCACCTAATTAGCTTCCGCTAAGTAGTCAGTAACTCTAGGGTGCTAAGTATTCAAACACACACACACACACGGACACACACACACACATGTACATACATCCCCTCCCTGCCCCCCACTTTCTTTCTTTCTTGCGTTTTTCGTCGTTTCTTGGGCATTCTTTCAGGCTTTTTAGGTGGTTTCTTGAGGCTCGTTTCCCTACCCCAGTCAAGGGCTAAGTAGTCACCTTTTGCTACCCCAATCTTTCTCTCCTGCCCTTTTAGCGCTGCTCTTTCTGTTTTTCTTTCTCTCGCTTCTAAGGCTTTTTAGGTGCCTATTCAGGTTCTGCGCGAGAGCGCCGCAAAGCGGCCGGGTGTGTGTGTGTGTGTGTGTCACACCCCGTCCCGAGGGTTGCCTATCCAGTCCAGCGAATTGGCATTTCGGTGGATGAGTGGTCTGATCAACCACTTGTACTTGCGATCTTGAAACTTTTGCCTATGCTGTGACTCCACTTTTCCTTCGGTTTGTTTTCATGGTCTTTCGTCATGACGCTACCCCCAAACAGGTTTCCCTCCGCAGTTTTCTGCCACTCGTGAGCCGCCTGAGTAGTTTCCGCAGATGTGCACAAACATTTTTTTGAAACATCTTCAAGTGCTTGAACGCTTTTCCGTTGAGCCATTCCTTTCCTCGTGGAATTGATGTAACTGAAAACCCTTTGTCAAAGTGTGTGTGTGTGTGTGTGTTTGGTGCTCACACTCTCGCTTGGGCTCCAGCCATGTCCCGGCTGTCTCAGGGTTCGCCAATCCTGCTTGGAATTCCGTCGAAGAGCTTACCCCCAGCAGTCACGTTCGACGGGTGCTAGCCATGGAGGGGGTGCCCAGAACATCCACTTGTAGAGGATGTATGATGGGGATCTCTTGTCGAAGATGAGGAGGATGAAAGAAATACATTCCACCATCACCCGGCTCAACCTTTGTTTGCTCCCACAGCAAGCCGATGGCAGTAGTTCCAACAGGGGTGCCGGGGGCGCCGATGGAGGTCGGGGGTCGAAAAGCCAGCCAAGACCCATATGGAACTGCTCTCCTCCTTGACTCACCTTTTTGGGGATTGGGGACACCATGCGACACCCCAGATGAAAAACTGAGGGAGTCAGTAGGTCCACCAACTCCACCCATCTTCGAAAAAACACTGCTAGACGGCGATCATTTCTTGGCCGCATGGAGGTGCTGATTGGCCACAGCTTGTCCCTGCTGCCGCGGCTGGTCACTGCTGGTGGCCGTTTTGGAGGAGCGGCTTGGCAAGCCGCCAGGGCTTCACACAGAGATTCTTAGGCCTAGAAACCAGTCAGGAGGCCTGTTGGGGGGCTCCAAACACAGTCAATTGTGTGAGGTCCGACCGCATAGACTCAAGAGTTTCTAAGATGAAACCGCTCTTCAAATTACGAAAGCTAGGCTCAGCTGGCTGGAGTCGCTCTTGCTTTAGCAAGGAAATCGTAGGGTGGACCGCAGCCTCAAAGACCTCAAGCCCGGTTAGGTACCCCCCTCCAAGGGTTCAATTCCCCCCCTGCGGACGGGTGAGCGTGACATGGCTATGAGCTTCTCGTCTCATCATGCTGCCTCATGAGCACTTTCCCATACTGATGCCGCTCATCATCAGCTGCTGCTTGCTGCTAGCTGTTTGTTTGTTTGTTTGGTTGGTTGGTTGTTTGTTTGGTTGGTTGTTTGGTTGGTTGTTTGTTTGTTTGCTTGCTTGCTGCTGCTGCTGCTGCTCGGTTTGCTCCAGACACGGTTTACTGCAAACCAGGGTTTACACCAAACACCGTTTACGCCAAGACACGGTTTGCACCAACCACAGGTTACACCAAACCATGGTCTACACCAAGCACGGCTTACACCAAAGCAAGGTTAACACCAACCGCGGTTTATATACACCCACGGCCGTTTACATCAACCACGGTCTACATCAACCGCGGCTTACACCAAACCACGGTTTACACCAAACAACGGATTACACCAACCACCCATTACACCAAACCTTCGTTTGCACCAACCACTGTTGACACCACACATGGTGTACACCAACCACCGCGTACACCAAATCACGGTTTACACCTGCTGCTTGCTGCTTGTTTGCTGCTTGCTGCTTGTTTGCTGCTGCTGCTGCTGCTGCTGCTGCTGCTGCTGCTTTTGCTTCTGCTTTTGCTTCTGCTTTGCTGCTGCTGCTGCTGCTGCTGCTGCTGTTTGGTGTTGGTTTGTTTCTGCTGCTTTGCTGTCCGGATTGCGCGACCTGCATCAAACACAAACGTTTGATTCGAGTGCTGGGTTGTCACCTGCTCTCGCGATCCAAGCAAGAGGCACGGTATCACGTCCATTCCCAGACACTCCATGTATGGAATATGCGCAGAGAAATCGGGATAGTTTCTGAGGTTTTTCCGGAAAAAAATCCTGGACTTCTGCAGAGCTGGCGACGAAGAAGTCTTTTTTAACCGTATTTACACGAAGAACTCTGAGTAATCTCCATGGACTTGGCAGCTGCTTGCGAACTTGTTGGTTTCAAGTGGCTGCCGCAAAATGTTTGCAAGTGGCTGCAAGTGGATACCAAGTGGCCGCCAAGTGGCTGCAAGAGCAAGTGGCTGTCATTTGTTTGCTCTCTGATGGTTCTTCTTATCAAGAGAGAAGAATCCCTGTGGTGGCTCGTGAGATTGCCTTACCTGCTCACCAACTGATCACGAAAGCTAGCCTCAGCTAGCTGGAGCCGCTCTTGCTTCGCAGTGGCTAGCTTTCGTTCACCCCCCTTGGCCTCAAGTGAGATTTGGAAAGGCACGTGTTGGGCTTCAAGCGAACCTCCAGCGCACTCCCGGCTGTGTAGTGTGCCAGGTGTGGTGTGCAGTAAAGTGGGTTTCATCGAGCATTTGAGGCCCGTGAATTACTTTCACCAAGGGGCAACGGCAATGGTTCTTTCAGGCGAACCTACCCAGTCAGTGGATCACCTGAAAAACGGGGGGATTGGGGGCACCCCACAAATATGAACAGATGGACTGTGCGGTTAGCTAACTTATCCCTAGGGCTCCAACCACCTCCTGAGAAGATGGTTGGGTCGTGTCTGGAGGGTCTAAACGCCTTCTGAGGATATGGTTGGGGCCCTGGGGTCTAACTTTTATGTTCTAGGGAGCCGGCTCAGATCTGAGTGTCCACATCTCAGGATTTGTTCATGCGACTCACGACTCATGATGGTTGGAAGACTATGCAGCACATCTCTGAGGCGAAAAATCATCCAGTCCTAGAAGCCTTGCGCGGCTGACCCTGCCCAGAGGCATCCATGGCGCGTGGCGCATTTCTATGGCGATCCATGGCGTGGCCAGTTTTGGGACCATCAAAACCACCCCACATGTCTTCATGGCCTGTCAACCAAACCAACCCTACACCTCCAGTCGTACCGCTTCGGTTCGGTGGGACGACCAAGGCCGCCAGGTTCGGGTCCAGAGACCGGCTTCGTTTCGGTGTCACATGGGCTCCCGGTCGGTGGCTCTTTTACGGTTCGGTCGTTTCGCGGAGAACCCTCCGATGGTTGTTCCGCGTTCTCCGAGGTCTTTATGGATACGCGCGGCTCGCGCTATGCCACCTGGAAGAATAGACATGTCCATGTGGTTTTTCCATGGTATGCCTGGTAGAGATCATATGACCAGGACCTTCCCAATGACATGACCGAACTTTGGAGTCGCTGAGGGCTGATAGTGGACCATTGGCCTTGACTCTAGTTCCCTGGTGGGCTGGGAGCTGAACAAAATCACTGCAGAACATTTGGAGCAGTCTCAAATGGTCCGCGGCCCTAAACCCAGGAAGTACGTGGATAACCTGAAAAACCTTTGACTGTGGCAGTGGTGTCACCCCAGTCAAGAACAGGTAGAAAGCTCGATTAACCTTCATTTTCCAGGGAAACTAAAGGAGTCAGATACGAAGGAGTTCTATGTCGGGGTTGTCTCCATTTACTAGGGGTGTCCTTTTACTTCTACTCAGTTGCTTGGGGATCATCAACTGCGGGTATGCAGTTCTACGGTGTATGGAAAGTTTTGGGTCGAAGTGCCCATGCCAGGCAGCGTTGGTCGGAATTGGCCAATAGAGTGTCCCTTCTTTCAAATCGCCGCCTGGGGTGGGGATTGCTCAAGTAGTTTCTACAAAAGCCATAGAATTGTTTCACAATCACATGGCCAAACAAAGAACACATTGTTTGTTGGCCATCACCATAGCACCAAGCAACTGGGAGTGTTGCTCCAGCCGACCTCTAAAGCTTGTTTACATGGCGTGCCAGCCATGAACCTGTCGGATTTGAGCGGATTTCATCGCAAGCGCTGAGGATCAGGAGGTCGCTTTGATGATCGAGCACGACCTTTTGGCGTTGGGCGCCTGGCAACGTCTGGGATACGCGACCCCAGACGCAATTCAAGACCATGTTTGCAATGGTTGACCGTTGACCTGGTTTCAAGTAGGGCAAAGATCCTTAGTAAGACAATGGTTGCTTGAACAGGGGTGCATATATATATATATATACATACACATGTTCCAGCATATTCCAGTTTGATAGAGTGACCGCTCCGAGGCCGCACGCCGTGCTGGTGGCAGACAACGTCTTAAAGCACCTCGCTGGGTAGTGGATGTTTGGGGGTCAAAAGGGACCCCCAGGTGGTATGAGCTAGAGTGGGGTGTGAGTCTATGAGCTCTTAGCAACACCATGCTTCTAACGACGTGGGAGCTTCTCCTTCGAAAAAAAGAAAAAGAAAGAAGAAACTATCTTCACGTTCGAACAGGTCAAGTGCGTTCGGTTCACCTTGATATTCCCAGTGATGGGCCCGGCTCAGGAGTGAGTCGACTGGGGTGGATGTGTTGTCCGTCGATACTCTATCTATCGAGTGAAACCGTGAGAAGAAGAAACGGTACTTATGCAATGAAAGGTCACTTGATCATCTCCAACATGATGTCATTGAGTTTGGTGAGTTTGGTGTGTGTGTGTGAGTCTATAGGATGATCTATGTCTTCAGGGCTCATTTGATGTGAACCCAACCTTGTTAGCTTCAAAATTCAACCTGACTTGGGAGGATTGAAGCATTTTGAACCCTTTGACTCTCTTTGACTCACGCTTTTTTTCCCTAGACCTTCCAACACCAAGGCTGACATGAGGGTACCAACCCCTGTTCAGAGTCGGTCACCGGCACCGGCCCGAGGCCGGGGACACCGCTCTTCTTGTGGCTCGTGATGAGGCAGCAGGGAACCCTCAAGCAATGCACTGGAAGGGGTGCCCTTCGATGGTCCAAAAAGGTTGTCGTCATTGAAGAATAGTACCCGGAGGCTCATGGACCCTCAAGCTGCTACATGTTGGTGAAGGCTCCATTTCACCCTGGCTGGTTTCCGGTCAAAACCCTAGCGAACTGAGGGTCCTTTCTGAGCCTTAGGGTCGTAAAGCCCAAGGAACAAAAGCAGGATATGAGTCATGTCGTGTTGTTTTTGTTGTTTCAGTTTGTTGTTGTTCTGTTCCAAAGGGCATTGCTGTTCTTGAAGCCATTCCACCTGACCCAGGAAACGTCGGATGACATGATTTCAGGGCCACCGACCCTGGTCCGTACTTCACGTATACAGACAAACTTCTCCGGAAGTTGGTTTCTGCCGAGCTATATGCATGCTGACAGCACATGTTGTTCACTTCAGCATTGATCGCCTGCAAGTGAAGGGAGAAGAGCAGACTTGGAATCTGAACCGAGTGAATAACCCATACACTCCATCTATGCCATATATGCCGCCATATTCCCCCTGGCACCACCCCAACTGATCGGCAGTCCTATGGCAGTCCCATGGAGTGTCTGGGTAATGATTGGGTTCCAAGTCGGCTCCAATGTCCACAGACTGGCTCGACGTTGGGACGGACAAACCCGACGTGGGAGCTGCGATGGCAGCGGTCAAAGAGATTGACACATGGTTACGTGGATGGAAAGTGGCCTGTTGGACGACTATTCTCCTACAAACAGGTGGTGAACTCCACTTCCATGTTAGTGAGTCAGAGGGTAGGGCATGTCAAATGTTTAAGGGTCAATGTAGGTGAAGATTCCAATACAATCCAATACATGGGATGGTCTGAGATTGTTTCCTTTCGCCGAACACCCTGGATTCAGGGTTTGATGCCCAACATGTGCGCTCCTGGTTGAACACTTGGTGGCATCCGGTCGCTGTCGCCGGACATTGGGTCGCTTTCCTATCGCTGTCGCTGGTCTTAGTCACTTGGACATTCCCTCAGGGATCGATGCAAGTATATATACCTTGGTTTCCTCGCCATCACTGGGCGGTTCCGAAGAGAGCTTATAACGTCCCTAGGGATCCAGTTGTACCGTCTCAGAAGGTGATGGAGACTTTGGTCCAGTCATGCCGAAGCTGAGGTTCGGTATGACTGGATCCCTAGGGACCCGGACACGTACCTCCGAAAATGGGTCGAGTCGCACCTCCTTTTATAGTAGGGTACGACGGATTGTGTTCAGCAAAAAGCGCTCAAAGTGTGCGACGACTTCGATGGGTCTTTTGGTGTGTGAAAATATGTGGAGTCTTAATGGTATACTGAAACTCCTGTACTCCTGTTTCTGTGGCCAACTCTTGGCTATTATCCATTCAAAGACCCCACGAAGATTTCAACCATCCTCCCAAATACACCATGAAAATGGGCCATGCGCCAGTGCTTTATTCCCTAGGGCTCCAACCATATCCTCAGAAGGCGTTTAGACCCTCCAGACCCACCCCAACTATCTTCTCAGGAGGTGGGCCAGGAGCCCTAGGGATTATTGGTCTATCACAGCGCAATCACAGAAACTAGACACCCCAAAGTCTGACATTCACCTGGAGTCTCCGTGTCCCGCGCGTTCGTTCAACTCAGTTCGTTCGTACCTGGAAAATGGCCTGTCACCTGTGTTTCTTACACTCCCTAGAACTAACATGGAAGGCGAAAACATTGGAAACAACACCTGACTGTAGTGGATTTCATGGTCTTCCTTACGGGGTCATTCTCCACTTCCATGTTAGTTCCAGGGAGTGTACTTCCCAGACGCGACCCTGGGCCCGAATCCTCTGGAGGGGTCTGGGGTTTCTCACCAATCCCTAGGGTTTGGTTCGGTACCAGTCGAGCGTCGTTCACGGAGCGTCTGGGTTGTAGGGTCAAAGTGCCTGTTTGATCGTCCCATCTTCGAGGCAACGGGACCGACGGCAGTGCGGGCCGTGCTGCTCGGTCGTCCGCGCCTGTGGACGTGGCGTGTCGTCCAGGGATGCGCGCTTTCAGACCCAGATCCACGCAGTCAACGAGCACGGGCACCTGGCAGCTGGTGAGCTGGTGAAATGCAAAGCCAGTGTGTGGACTGCAATAGGTTTATCATGGTTGCTATCATATATAAGTTTCCTTTATAACACATTGTAAATCTGTGTAATTAGATCAATTGATCAATTATATATATGCTATGTGATGGGGGGACCCGTGTGGGAGCTCCGACCTTTCAAAGGAGCTCCTACATTTTCTGAATGAATGCCATGGGCCGGTTGAACCACCCACAATGAGCCGGTGTAATCTGCCGGTGTAATGAGCCCTTAGGAAAACATGTTGTTCATGTGGATCCCCCGCAAACTAACATAGAACCATATAGAACCTGAGAATTGACCTGTGGAAGACCATTTTTCCTCTACAACCCAGCGGTTTGGGGGTTCCATGTTAATCTGCAGGGGAGTAGATCCACATGTGAAACCCACCGTCACTCTGGGCTTGTGGCATTGAAAACCATGGAACCTGCCGTAAAAAGTCAACAAGCTGCACTGGTTTGAGGAGGAAACATGTTGGACAGCTGTCAACATCTGTCAACTGGTTTCCTCCACAACAGGCCCAATGTCAGGAGCAAGAGGACAATCCGTTGATTTGTGGACAAACTTCAGATGCTTGTTGTTGGGTCCCATGGATTTGTCAATCTTCCAGTTTTCAATGGATTCCTAGGTGATGGTTTCGAAATATGTGTGTTTTCAACGGGGATGATTGGACCCTTTGACTGATATTTTTCAATTGGCTGAAAATACCAATTCCCCAAGGATCCTTGGACACTCCTTAGAAGGGGGTCGAACCCTCTATAACAAGGGTTTTGATTGTACCCTCAAAACCCTTGTTTTTGAGGGTGCGGATCCTTAGGGTTCTTGTTTTTCTTTTACATAGGTCCGACCTTGTCGATCCTTCCTGGCCCAGGTTACCTGTCGACCGTAGTGTGATTGTACCAACTTCAGAATTTCATGAGGTCGTTCACTGACTTTCTTGAAAATGGTCAACACAGGTCAACACTCACCGGCGTTTCTTCAGAGGGATCGAGGCTCTCGAACAAAACATACTCGATGGGACTCAGTTCAGCGTCTTGCGACCTGGAACGTTTTGTTCTTTTTTACCTTACCCAGACGCTCTAAACAGCTCTTGGTCCCTCAAAACCTAGAGATTGAGACCTCAGACCCCTTCAGACATCGACAGTGGTTTCAGAGGTTCAATGGCACAATCCCCCAATTCGGTGGTCTATATGGACCCCCATCTGTCTAGGTGGGGTCTGTCCGAACTGACCTGTAACAGTCAGTAAACAATTATTGCTATTTTGGATAAGGCTTGCAACCTAACCATCATCATCCACTGTTACAGGTAATAGGATAGACCCAATGTCCAGGACATCTTTTGGGGTTTGTGGCATAGAACCTCTGAAATCACTGGTTTCAGAGTAGAGCAGGGACTGCGGGGCCTACCAGCAGACCCTGAGTCGCAGCCTAAGCCTTCGAGTACCAGCACCCCACTGGTCGCCTTTTGGCTGACTGAAAGGTTGACCTGGCGGGCGCTGGGTCTGTTTTTGTAGCTCAAGTTGTGTCAACTCTTTTTCGGAATGCTTGGACTTGGACAGTCAACACCTCGTGTTGGTCCTTCCCGCTGCAGGTTCGCCATGCCGGCGAAGGATTGGATCTCAGTGAGCATCTATGACCCGAGAGAGGATGGAGGCCCGCGAAAGGAAGACAGGGATTCCTATAGACAGGAAAAGTTGATAAACTTCTACAACATTTATCAACCTTTTATTCAGGATTCATTTCCCCACAAAATATGAAACGACGCAACAACATGGTTAACCGCTTTATGTTCCATATCCCTAGGGCTCCAACCATATCCTCAGAAGGTGGTTAAACCCCCCAAACTTACTATACCCTAACCACCTTCTCAGGAGGTAGTTGGAGCCCTAGGGTATATATGTTCCAGGACAACTGAGCGGGTCAGGATTCGGGAGGGTGATGGTTTTGTTGTTCACCTCTCTCAGATGTGCGCCACACTTCTCTTGTGAAGCCATGCAGGGAAACTTGGACGGATTGATTTCAACAGGATTGATCGGTAGGAAAGCGTTGGTGCCAGGACCATGAGCAGTCCGTGACCATGACCATGGGAGTCATGGTCTGTGTGACCGAACCTTACGAACTTCCTGGGATGTCAAGTTCCGGTCACAAACCGAAGGCCCTGGAGGAATGATGTCAGTTGTAGTTCCCTAGGGCTCCTGTCCCACCTCAGAAGATAGTTAGACCCTCCCAATCCACCCCAGTCCCACCTTCTCCGAAACGGAGGTACTGCTAGGCCAGGAGCCCTGGTAGGATTGTTTGGGGGGATGTGCCCCCCAATTCTGTCAGGTCCAAGTCTTCTCATCTTCCGCTGCTGGTTGCAACCGGTTTGTCCATCGGAGTCATGGACCGAAAGTGGATCGCCACTGCCGGTGGGGAAAGGACCTGAAGTTCACACCCAGCAAAGAAGAACAAGCATCAGTAGGCCCAATAGAACGGCACACATGGAGTGTGGGAGGGGATTGATCTTCATTTGCTCGTGTTCATCCTACCCGAAAGCACCTGACGTGGTTGGGGGGGATTGCGTCACCCGAAGCTCGTACCTGTTCCGCAGGTGCTCCACAGGCTCCGCCCGAGCTGTTCCGTCCGACGCCCCGTTCGTGGCGCCGCAGGGCCCGCGGGTCGGTCCGGTGGAAAAGGCCTGGTTTTAGGACTCCGGGCAGCAACACATAGGGTTTTTGAGGGCCCTGTTTACCCCCCAAGGGCCCAAGAATTCTGAGGGTGGACCAAGAATGGGAATAGGCCAGGAGTGGAGTGGAGAGTACAGAGGCTAATTTCTGAACGTGGGATTGTCTCAGGGGATGTGATGTGCGTTAGACTTTTGGTATACACTCGTCATGGAGTCCATTAACACAGTACAAGGAGAACACCAAAACATTTCCACAACACACAGATACACTCCATGGAATGTATATGTCCTCTACCAGGGCCCCCCTTAAGGGGTGGTTAATAGACACCCATTAATCTCTAAGGAACCATAGCCATTATTGGACACCCCTTAGGGGCCCTGGTATATGCCTACATTGAGCCCCCTGGCACCACCCTCTGGCCTGATCGGCAGTCCTATGGCAGTCCTAGACAGGTCGTGTCTGGGATGAGTTGACCGCGACTTCGCCACACGCAGTGGCTCGCGCGCGCCACACGCAACGCGCTGGCTCGCCATGAGGTCTGCATGAGGCGGCTGAGGAGATGCGTTGGGGGCACCGAGTGAAGAGTTTTCGTGTTTCGTGTTTCGACTGATCCTTGAGCCCAGACGCGACCCTGGATCAAGATGATCAAGCAGCATTTGGCAAGTGCCATAACACTTCATCCCTAAGATCAAGGACCCTCAGTTCGGTGAAGGTTGATTCAGGTCCAAACCCCTGCGTTCTGCAGGGTCAAAACCCCTCCATAGCACGGGCCAATGATTCTTAGGGATCAATGTAATGTAGACTCTTGATGAATCAACCCCCCAAGCCTGAAGAGGTGTTTATTTTTAAATTGTTCTATTTTCTCCATCACGAGTCTACATCGTTGTCTACATCCACCGTGGAAAGGGTTACTTGTGGCACATCTCGAAAGCGTTACTTTCGACATATGGTCCTCTCCATGTCGTTTTGTCTTTCATTTTGTGAAGTCTGCTAAGTTGTGTGCATCCAGAGAAAGCTCGGTGGGCAATATACAGCAAGGCTGGAGGGGTATGCACTTCACGCAACGAAGAGCACAGCAAGAAAGCTTCTTGTCCGATACGCCGTAGTCTCTTGGAGAGACTAAGTTGCTCCAAGTGCGAACAGTGCGCAAAGGTTGACCCCAAAATCGCAGTCAGATCAGTACGGGAGAGATCAACTCGTTGCAGCCGTTTGCACTATCATGCTTCGTGCCATCGTGCCATACGGCTTTGGGCGCATGAGAGAAAAGAACCCCTACAAATCCAGTCTGACCCAGGTCCAAACCTGGTCCTGAAAACCTGTTCGAGTAGTGTGTTTGTATACGACCAACTTCAGTCTTTCATGAGGTCATTGACTTCTAGGGAACGTTTGCAGGTCAGCTCAGGTCGTTGAAGACTCCCCAGCCGAGCGTCCGCCGAAGCGTCCGAGCCGAGGAAGAGTAGGACACCCAAACGCTCCATGGGACTGCGGACTGCCGAGAAACGGCCAGGGATGGTGGTTTGCGGGGTCAATTGATCGGCATATATTCCAGTCCCATGGAGTGTATGGGACATGAAAGATCGCGGAGGGGTACTGCGTACACTGCGTACTGGCCACCTCGTGGGAGGGTGCGTTTTCTTGCCCTGTAAGCATGCGGTGGAAAAACCTCGACGAGTTCAGTCTACCATTAAAAAATCGATTCCCTGGGGCTCCAAGTACCTCCTCAGAAGGTATTTGCACCCTCGAAACCCACCCTAAACACCTTCGAAACGAAGGTACGACTGGAGCCCTGGGATTGGGGAATCTGCAGCTTCCCATGGGTCTGCAAGGCCCAATGTCACAGACCATGGAAACCAAACCCCCATTGGGACTGGAAGACTTCCGCAAAAAAACACCCAAGGATGCCCGTATACGTAACCATTCCATACCAGGACCGAACTACCCAAGTCCAATGGTTTGTGGACACCTCTCAAATAGCCTCTAAGAGGCTGGCGATTCACTGATAGACACCTCGACAGGAAGGTCCTGAGTAGATGGATCATTTGGACCCCCCCTAGGGCTCCTGGCCCATATCCTCAGAAGGTGGTTAGACCCCCCATGGCACCCACCCCAACCACCTTCTCCTCAGGAGGGGGCGGCCAGGAGCCTTATAGGGCATGTCGGATGGGCACGCGGACAGCAAGACGTCGACGTCGACGTGCAGCCGTGCTGCAGCGCAGTGCGACGCCTTTGTTCAGCGCACTGAGGCACTCGCGCGCTGTCGCACGTGCGCAGCGTGACGTATGCTGAATGGGCGCGTTTTGCTCAAGAGATGCCGGGGGCCACCAGACAGAGACAGGGCGGTGTGGCCTGTATGTGACAGTTTGGGAGGTGTGACCTGATCGGGGGATGAAAGAATTACATTCAGGAAATATGGGGTAAGGACCCCATGGCCCATGGACAAGACGTTCGTTCACTGATCAAGTCAGCTCATTTAGCGCAAAAGTCTAGTATAGCGATGGCCTCCAACCTAGGGTGCATTGTTCATGGGTGGTTACATGTTCAATCTCCAAGTCCGCCAGCGGGGCCAGCGCTTTTTGGCCACTCGTCATACCCGTCATCTGGAGAGACTTCTCAGAACGAGTTTGGTTTAAACCTCTTTAGACCCGAACAGCCGTCCAACCAAGGGATTTTACACCACCCAGAGGCTCCGTGAAACCAGCTCGACTGGTGGATTGGTGAGGTCCGGATCCATTCGGGTCCGGCCCCGGAACGAAGGGTCCGGCGGTCGCGTTTGGGCAAGAAACCACGGTCCATTTACACCATGTGACCCTCAGGGCCGGGGGGGGTCGTTGCGCGTTCCCGTGCCACACGCCATGCGTTTTTCTCCCGTGCCCAGGGAGCAACGCTTGGATGACTTGGGCATTCGACCGACGGAAAAAAAGGGCCCCAGAGGTTCATCGCCGGTGCCCCTCGGCCTGTTTCATCCCACCCTCAGCTGCCATAGTTTGATCTGCCCAGACGCCACCCTGGGCCCGAATCCTTTGGAGGGGTGTGGGGTCTCAAATCCCGAGGGTTTGGTTCGGTACCAGTCGAGCGTCGTGAAAACGGAGCGTCTGGGTGAGGTGGATTCGCGTCTATGCGACTCGACCCCATCCCCGAATGGACCCTCATATGGAGGGGATGAGCTGGTGTTGTAATGTAAAAGTCCTTAAAACAAGGGTTCTTTGGGATTCAGACCATTAAAAGAATGGTTGTTTGAATCCTAGGGTAATAACACTGGTAATAACATGGAGTCCATGCAGGGTTTTGTTGTTCATGTGTCTTGGATCATTCAGAGTCTGACCCGGCCTTTCATCTTTGCCAGCATGAGCCAGCTTAGGTATCCAAACATTTGGGGGGAGATTACCCATTATGTTCTGGGAGTTAAGCTTCCAGCGGATGTGATCAAATAGAAACATGCATGACATAATTATCGCATCCGACTTAGCGCCTTTGACATCCTTTTAACGATGTTTTACGGAACTGGGTCACTTCCATGGCGAGTTCCGTGGGGTGAGTTTCGCTACGAGGCCAGTACTGATCCGTTCTGCATGGTTCGCGCAGAGCAGCAAGGATTCCTTGACTTGATTTGGAGACTTCTCAGCACATTTCAGTAGCTTTTTTGGCTCAGCCCATGCTGCCTGGGGTGGGCTGTGGGGAAGCCCAGCAGCAAGAGGAGACCGTGCGGGCTTTGCGGGCTCGTGAAACAACAAGGGAAGAAGACTAGTGGGGTGAGCTTTGGGAGTGAAGGAGAGAGGGGCGTTCTGTTCAAGGAGAAGTGTCGCTCCCAACATCAGCAGGACACAGCATGACACGTGGGGTCTCTAAGGATTTGCCCCACTTGTGGGGTGGCGGGGGAAGTCATAGGGAAACCAGCCTGTTTTGGAACCCCTACAAAGATCCCTATCACCCAGACGCTCCGTAAAAAGAGCTCGACTGGTCCCGAACCAAACCGGATTGGTGAGAAGGTCCGGACCATATGGGTCCCCCTACTTAGGAGGGTCCAGGGTCGCGTCTAGGCAAGCCATATCAATTAATATATAGATCCCTACTTCCAGCTTCTTCAGTTCGTGACCTTTTGAAGGTTCCTTTTCGTGACCCTACTCGGAGGCTTAAGTGACCGAACCAACCAGGTCATCAAGTTAGGTCACTTTGAAGAACCAGGTTTAAAGGTTCCCTCCATGAACATCATGATCATGACGCCTTCCAGAAGCTTGACGTGTGCTGAGATTGGCTTTGTTTCGCTTCGGTGGCTGGGGTAGGTGCTTCAGGGGTTTGGTCCCTATACCTTCTGAGGAGGTGGGACAGGAGCCCTGTGTGATGCGGACTTGTATACCTGCATATGCATATAACCTTTTGCCTATAGTATCTATAGTATACCCGATGGATCCACATACCTTTGCGAAGGTGATTGGAGACTATTTATGTCGGCGCCAGCCAGTCGGGCCCAGGTGGCAGTGGATCTCTACAATGAGCGCCCCCTCTACTTAACCCTACTTATAACTTGGGCTAACATATGTTATAACTAGGGACAACATAATTTATAACCTGGTGTTAGTTTGCTAACTTCTGTGCAAAGTTATAAGCTACATATAACTAACTTGCAAATGATAAAGCACAAATATCTTAGATATAACTTCAACATTTTAAAAAATGAAAAAAACTTATAACTAAGTTACCGAACTTAGCTTTTTGGAAAGGAACAAGCCTTATTTTTGAGGGACTGTTAAAAAATAGCGCCCGCGCCTTTTTTGTGAAGCAGTGTTGCTTTTTGTTGCCGTGCGAGGTGCCATGATGAAAAGTGGGCAATGTATTTTTGTTTTCTTGGTTTGTGTGGTTGCTTACTTGGTTGTTTGTTGGTGTGTGTTTGTTTATCTATTTGTGTGTTTTTTGTTCTTTGCTGGTCTAGTTTGTTTATTTTTGGTAGTTTCTGTTTGTAGTTCTGCTTATTTGTTTGTTTGTGTGGTTGGTTCTTTGTTTGTTTGTTGTTTGTTTGTTTTTTTTTGTGGTCTTCGTTGATGTTTGAGCGCGCCTGTTTGTCATGTTGTTGTTTGCAAGGTTGCTTCGTTTCTTGAACATGTGTTCGGCTGTGTCTTAAGGCGGTGGTCCGCCTTAAGTTTCGATAGGTACATCTTTCTGAAGCCTTTTGGTTTTGTTTGCATTGGTTATTTGTAGATTTAGAGATCTCAATGGCAAGCAGCTCTGAAGCCGCAGCAGCTGATGTGAGTCGGGTTACCCCAAAGCAGCGCAATGCGATGCAGAATTGGGAAATGTTTGCTTTGTACATTCCCAAACACCTGTGGGATGAGTTCAAGCTATCCACAAACATGATTTCTGACTTGGACTTGCTGTTGACGTTTTTTGATCAACTTGGGTATGCGCACGCCATCGGAAACAACCCAATCGATGCTGGGTGCAGTGCTGATCTTACGGGAAGAAAATGCTTGGCAGGAAGGCATGCCTGTTGAAGGCACATTCAATTGCAAAATATTGAATGAAGCCTGTGCCAGCAATGGCAACCCTCCTATGACCATGTACCCCTTGGGTCTGCATGGTGATGGAGTGCCTGTACAAGGCAGGATGAATCAATCCACATTAGATTTTTGGTCCATGAATTTGCCATGCAGCCCAGCTTTCTCAGCTATGAGGATTCCTATCTGCTGCCTCGATACCGGCTGGGTGAAAAATTTACCCAACCATTCATGAGGAAGAAGAAAGGGCAGCCACTGCTGGCTTAAATCATTGGACCTTCTCTTTGGGCTTTTCATTGGTATTTGCACCCAATAGAGGTCAGGCCACTGATGTGTCTTTCTTAAATATCGATCCATGCTTCTAGCTGCATTCTTGTCTCTGCTTTCTTCAGAATCTGAGCCTTTTGCAGGCTTGCTTTTTTTTTTTTGATTGGGTTAGCAAACTCTAAGCCAGCTGCATCAGCAGTTTGTAGCAGCTGGCTGATATCTTCAGCTGAAAGCTTATTTTGTTTGTAAAGGCTCACCACCTTTTCACCAAGCTTTTTTCTGGCTTGCATGGCCTCAGGTGATGGGGCCATTTCTGGCTTGGGAGGCTTCCAAAACATTGCTTCTTCCAGCTTTCTCTTTGGAGCAGCCCAAACATGGGTGAAACAAATCCAAAACCAAATGATCCTAGCCATCTATTGTAAAAGTGCTTGAGCCAACATTTTTGGTTAAAGTAGCCCAGCCCATGGCCAAACCACACCCATCTGCAAACCTTTTTTGTCACTCATCTTAGCTGGTCAGGTCGGTCTGTTGCTTTAGCTGCTTAGCCATTTCTGGCTGGGTCAAAACTGATGTCACCCATTGCTGGCTCAGATGATGTTTGCATTTTTGGCCCAGAGTCTGTGTGGGCCAACAGCCTTCTGCAGGCTTTTATAGTCATCATCTGCTTCCTTTTTCATTGATGCCATAGCCTCGATGTGCTCCTTGCCTTTCTCAGGCTCATCCAAGTGTTCTTTCCATTGGCCCAATCTTTCCAGCCATGCGGTCTTCGACTTGCTGTAAGTCTGTTCCAAACCATCCAGCTCTTGGATGCTTGCATCCAGTTGGCTGCTGTTAGCAGTGAGCTGAGCCTTTTTGCAGGCTTCTTTGAGGAGCAGCAGTTTGTCCACTGCTGTCCCTAAGGAAGTCACAGCCTTCTTCAAGCTTTTGTAGGTTGCCTTGTACTGCTCTTCCATGGTGGTCTCGACCTCATCCATTTCTGGCTTGGGTAGAGGCCTGTCAGGCTTGGGTTTGCCACCCAGAGTCACTTGGCTGGACTCTGGCACAGCCATCAAAGCCTTCTCCACTTGCTGGAACTCAGGGGCTTGCAGGTCCTTGACCTCCTGGTGAGCTGCTGTGGTGGACTCATAACTTCTTTCCTTTTCAGTCGCAAGCTGCTTCTCAAGCTTGTATTGCTTGTGCCCCAGCTCTGCCCAAGCTTTGACCTCATGAGGTCTCTCAGGCAACCCCAGTACTGCAGCTTCTGCCAGCTTGTTGAAGTCTGGGTCTTGTGGGTCAGCACCCTGCAAAATGGTACTTGGTCATCCAACCATCGATGACTTTGTCAGTCTTTTTGAGCCTTTCCAGGCTTTGTTTGTGTACACTGCGGCTGGCTGCAGATTCATCCAGAAGGAAAGTGTTGTAGTAAAACTCTCTTTTGGCTTGTTGGCTTCCATTGGCACATGCCTTGTCCCAGGCAGTCTTCTTGAGGGCTGTCTCCAGCCTGGGCTTTCCTGGCAAGTTGCTGGCGCATGTCCTTCCAAGCATCTTTTGAAGGAGCAGGCAACTCCCCATCCTTCACTGCTCTAGCCTTTGCAGGCTTGGATTCAGTACTTGGGGCTTC